CGCATCGCAAATAGCTGGGCCCTGCTGCCTTTTCTGTTTTTGTTGCAGCTGTGTCACAAGTCACCTCCCCCTGTAAGAGGAGGTTTGGTGGCTGCAAGGAGTTCAGTGGTTGAAGTGTCTGCTGGCTGTCGCATGGGAACAGCTCGTTGACCCTGAGCCTTTCTGCTCTGCTGCGATCAGGGCTCCGCGGTGGTATGAGAAGCATGGACGCCTGTTCCAGAGCCACAGCCACACGCCGTGGGCTCACTGCCATGGATCTCCGGGCAGCACAAGGAGGGCTTCAGCTGATGCCCTCACCAGAAAGCTGGGTGCCCAAATACCTCCACAGACCTGGATTTTTGTGCCCATCAGCACCGTCCTTGTCCTGCTGAGTGCAGTGCGTTGCGCAGTGTGCACTCTGTCAGATGGCGAGAAACATCTCTGTGCCAGAGGATGCCAGATTCTCCCTGAAGCTCGTGTGTAATTTCACATGTAAATTAATCCACATTCGTGTTTTGCCGAGCGCCGTGTGTGCCCATACCCACCCAGCACAGCCCCTACCCTCTGCAGTGCCCGTGAGACGGCAGAGGCTGGCACAGCTGCTGGTGCCAACTCACAGCCCCGCGGCACTTGCTGTCAGAGTTGTATGGGGTTTGTTGGCGCTGACAGTCACAGCTCGTTCTCCCCAAAAACTGCCTGCGGCTGTTGTCGGCTGTTATGTCCCCTTTCCTGTCTGCACTGTCTGTCGTGTTGCCGCAAGCCTGAAAATTTCTGAGCAGCCTTGACGAGATGCTGGTGGGAACTGGGGGGATGTCACTGAGCCCTCACCGAGGGGTCACAATGCCTGGTGTGGTCCGGTCCTGCTCCCCATGCGCGGGGGCACACCAGGGCTCTTGCTTGCCTTCAGTGTCTGTGCAGAGCCTGTCCCTGCCACGCCACTGGAAGGGGTTACCGTCACCGGGTCCTGTTTGCTTACTCGGTCTTCCTTCCTCCCGCAGGAAACAGTCGGAGAGCCCTTCTTCCTGCTGCTCTGCGCCATCAAGCAGCA